CCGGGAGCGCGGGCGAGCCGAGGCCCGGGGCCTGCTGAGCGGCGGCCGCACAAGGGCGCGCTCGCCGCTGTCGCCTGCCGCCTCTTCCACGGCGGAGGGTTTGATGTGACACAGGGTTCTCCCGGGGCCGCAGCCGGGCGCTGAGCGTGGACGTCCTCGCTGCAGCGCACCAGCGTACCCGGTGTCATCTCTTAGTACTTGTTTGGGGCTGAGCGCTCAGAGGGAATTTTCTGCTAACTGGATGACAGTTACATGTTAGGTCCCCAAACGTGGAAAATGAATTACGTAATTTTTAAAGGAAGACTGTAGGCAAAGTTATACGTAAAGTAGTGAGGATACGTTTTAACATTTCATTATCTGTGATAACTAGTATGTAACTTACTGGATGTTTCATGATAGCCATGGGGCAAAGGATAAATTAGTTTGTGTCACCCCTCGGTGCTGCCTTGACACAGTTCTTGCTACATTTTGCGATATTTCACTGTTACTTTAGTCATCTAAGAAATCTTTGAGTGCACCCCTCCCGCCCGTGCAAGGTGCTGGTGGTGCAGAGATACACAGACAAACCGTGTCACAGACTTCGCGTTGTGAGGCAGGAGAGGTGAAATTGGTGATAGATAGTGACAGGTCCTGTCCTGGAAAAGGAGAGTGCAGGGAGAGAGGGGAGACGTGGGAAGAAGTCTCTCAGACGTTCAGTAGCGACCTGGAAGGGGAGAGGAGGGGCCCTTCCAGCGTGTGGGAGGGCGGAGAGGGAGCAGCGTGGAGCCTGAGTGGGTGTCAGCGCGGCCTGCTGGAGACTGTAAGGAGACCCTGGGGCCCAAATGTTTGATGCTTTGTTTGGGAGCATTGCGTTTCAGCTCTCTGTGCCTTGGAACCCTCAGCGACTGACTCCATGAAAACATTGACAGTGGTGTGTCTGGGAGGGGAGCTGGGGCTGGGCAGACAACTCTTCGCTGAATCCAGCGTGGCACCTTTTCATGTTGCACTCCCTTAAGGGGATACTTGCTCAGTGAGCATTGCAGCCCTGTCTTCAGGGATTCTGCTCCTGTGGGTTGGGGACTTTGGTGTCTTGGTTACTTGTTTCAGACACCCACAAGTTCAAGGAGGAACGGTGTGTGTGAGCTCACAGTTTGTAGGGGAGTAAGTCCATGGTCAGCTGGCTGCCAGGCCGGTGGCATGGTGGAGGGGTTGGCAGAGGAGAACCAGTCCATGGCGGGGTGGGCGGGGCCAGTGGCAGTGAGCCTTCTTCTCCCTCCCGCCCTTTCTTATTCCGTCTAGGCTGTAAGCCTGTTGGTTGGTGTCACCCACACCCGGGGTGGGGCTTCTGTCTTCCGTAAATCCATTCAGCCTTGTACAGAACTATGCTAAGTGAGTTAGGGGCTGATTCAGTTATCGGACACCCTCGATCCAGCATCACTCACCCATGATCCGGCTAGCTCCCAAACCCCACGTGTGAGCACAAAGGGCATAAGAGGGGCAGATACAAGCCATGCCCCTATGTCTGAAACTTTGAAATGCACAGGACACTGCTCACATCTGTGCTCTGTCCTGCGTCGAGAGGTGCTGGCTTCAGTGCTCATTTCTCATTGCACTGATCTGGTCGGTGTTGTGGGCCTTAGCCATGGTGACAGGCGTGCAGTGATCGTTCATCAGTGGGTTTTAGTTTTCATTTCCCTGATGGTATTGAGCATCTTTTAATGACTTTTTTCTTTTTTGGCCGTTTAAATATCATTCTGATGATGTGTTTGCTTATAGCATTTTTTTTTCCCTCAAGACAGGCTGTTGCTGTGGAGCCCAGGTTACCCTAAACATGTGACCCTCCTGCCTCAGCCTTCCAGAGGCTGGGATGGCAGGCATATGCTACCATGCCTGGCTTGCTTATCTTTTCATTGGATTGCTTTTTCCTTCCCCTCACTGAGTTTTGAGTGTTTATTATTTGTCTGCATGCAGGCCGGCTCAGGCTGCCCTTGTGAACTCGTGGTGATATTCCTGCTTCACCTTTCCTGGCGCTGCAGTTACAGGCGTGTGCCCCCACGCCTGGCTTGTTGGATATGTATTTTGCAAGTACTGTTTCCTCAGTATTTTCATTCTGATAGCAGTGTTCTTTGCAGAGAAAAACTTTTTAATCTTGTTGAAGTCCACTTTATTTTTAAAATGTTGGTCATGATTTTGGTTTCATGTTAGAAACTTCCAAATTCAAGGCCACAGAGATGTTTCCTTTGGTTGTTTTTGTTTTCCAAAGGGGTCTTAGTCTTACTCCTCTGTGTGGTCACTCTGAGTTAAATTTTCATACCTGGTGTTTGTTATAAGTTGAGATTTACTTTGAGTTTAATAAGAAGCCTTCTTTTTCAAGTTTACATTGCCCTGTTCTTATCCTGAAGATTAAAGATGTTGAAACAAAACCTTAAAAAACACTGATAGGCCAATCTGGGTGGCACACACCATTTGGGAGGCTGAGGTGGGAGGATTGCCTGTGCAGTTTAGATTCTGTTTCAAAGTAAAAATAAATAAGTAAGAAGGAGTGGGAGGATAGCTTAGTGTGAAGACCCTGGGTTCAGTTGTCAGTACCTCAAAAAAAAAACAAAAAAAACAAAAAAAAACATGGAATTGTAAGGTTGGAGTAAGATCTGGTGCTGCACACCTGTGATTCCATCACTCTGGAGGCGGAGGCAGGAGAATTTAAGGCCAGCCTGGGCTACTTATTGTGTTCAAAGCCAGCCTGAACTACATAGCAAGACTTTCTCTCAAAAAAAAGAAAAAAAAAAAAAAGAAAACAAATAGAATTGTAAGGTTGGTCCTGGCATTCATATGTAATTTTTAAAATCCATTTTATTTTGCTGTGATTTGACGTGTCCAGAACAGTTTGCACACATGCCATCCCCGTGGCCTGCCTGACTTGTTGCTGTCTGTCAGCATCTCTGTTCCTAGGAGCGGTGGCGGCGCCAGTGCATCGCTGGTGCTTAGTGGCATTTCCCGTGCTCCAGGCTCTGTCGCCCTTTGCTTACTGCTTACTGCCCATTTGCTGTTGAGTGGTGCGTCAGGTGCGATGCTGTTGCTTTTGCTCCTCAGGCCTCCTCAGCCGGCCCTGGACTCTGGGTTTCCCAGCCCCCTCCAACAGTTGTGAAGGTTAGGGTTAGTTTTAAATGGCTCATTTTAGGTTTGTTGCTGTTGCTCTCATGATGAGACGGTGTTCTCAGCTCACCGTCAGTACGGCTGGTGGCTCCCAGTGTGAGCGTGTGTGCTGGGCGGGGTGTCCCGGGCTGTGTTCTTTGAGGAGAGTTGCTGGGCACAGCCCAAGCGCTGCCCAGGTTGGGTGTCTCTGCTCTGGCTACACTCACCACCTCCTCAGTTTCTGGCCAGCAGGGGCAGTGTCCCTTCTTTTGTGTTTGAATTTTCATCTTCTCTCTTTTTTTAATGTTTTTTTTTTTTTTTTTTTTTTTTTTT